CTTGTGAATAAGACTGTGCAGCCATTTTGCTCGTACTGCGGAATGCGATAGCCTACAAATGCAATAGAAGAAGCCTCAGTCGTTTCACACCTTACCGCCTCCTGACACTTCCTAAAAGAAAACATTGCTGAAATTGTATTTTTTTCTTAAAGTACAGTTATTAAGCTTTCTTATGATATATAGTTTGTTGGGGTTTTATTGAAACTGGCACGCGTACGATTTTTTTCCCAAAGGGCACCCGCGAAGGTGGGAAGTAACCTTAAGCTTGATATATTTCTTTACATTTTTGGGGTTTAGAGAACCCCTCACCCCACAGGAAATTCCGATCCCTTCTGTGGGAGAGGGGGGGNTAAGGATATTTTCTGGAAATGCATGTTGGCTACGCTACTCACTATAGATCTGTTCTGTTATAGGTAGTGAGTAGGCTAGCCGTGCAAATTATTGTTAAACAAAATGGTGTCTGCTTTTTTGTGTTTTCAAGTGTCTGTGAAGAGGATTTAGCTATCAAATTGCTTTTTAATTGACATACATTTGTATTAATTTTTGTACTATTATTATACAGGGTTTCTTGGTGATACGTGTACTTGTACGATAATGTATGAACTGTGTGAAATGTCTCTACTAGTGCTCAAATGATTTTCTCAAAAAAAAAAAAGTGTATGAGGCAAGCAATTTCATGTCTCTCATGCATAAATTATCCTGTTTCAATGTCATTATTTTATTCTCTGTCAGTCTTCTCAACCAAATATTTGAATGAAGCCTCTGTCAAAAAGGTCATGGAGTTTATGATGTTTGATATATCTGATATCTGATAGATCTGATCTTTGATGTATCATCTGACAGGTGTTTAATGACTGTATCCATGGCCATATTGAAATACATCCTCTCTGCGTGAAAATCATTGATACACCGCAGTATCAACGACTGAGGAACATCAAACAACTTGGTGGGTATTCTTTGTTATACATGATTGTATAGTTAAACATTGCCCTTTGAATGGTACCTAAAGGTGAAAGAAGCAAAGGGATAGATATTACCTTGGTGCAGTTAACCCCTTATTCCTGAAGGGGAACATGTACAATATTCCATTATTGGACACCAGGTTGGTATACTAGTGTAAAATGTGTTTTGTCACAATTGTGCAACTCATAAAATTGACCTCAGCATATTAAATAACTCCTTGTTATTCAATGCTGTATAGTCGTGTTGAAAGTGTAGCAGATATACTGCATCATTCTGGTTTTTTGTTTGTTTGTTTCTGGAAAATAGGAGGCTGCTACCATGTATTCCCAGGCGCATCACACAATAGGTTCGAGCATGG